AAACTCCGATTCATATTTTTCATAGAGAAATCTCTGATCAATGATAGAACAAGATCCGCTCTGCATCATATCTAATGAATTTCTCGGTTCGGGTCGAAGAAGCAATGTCACTCGGTCATTATCAAACTGACTGCAATCTTTTTCTGTCCGTGAAGATCCCACCAGAGTGCCTTCTACTTCTAATAGGCCATGAACTAGATCCGAATCGTTCTCAACGAGTTCATAAGAAGTGATCCCATTTTTTTCATCGGGTCCGGGTAGAGACCAAAGATTTTGGGCGACCGATCCGGCAGAACAACTCAAAAGATAAAGAACCTTCCCGACCACGATTTTTTTTTTAGGCGAAATTAAGAAAAAAAAATAAGAAATTGTATTCTGCGCTATAAGTGTAAAAAATCAAAGTAAATAGACAGATAAAGAAATAGCGGATTCCATCGTTTCTATGGTGACTTCATAAACGGTGAGGTCTTTTCTATACACCGGAGCCTTTACTTCATTTAATCAATGTTATTGGTAACTTGTATAGTTCATCCTCCTTGGCTCTATCCATGAATTATCTAGTAATAGGTCATTCACAACGAGATCTACCTACACCGTAACGGTATTTTTTTTTATGAAAATTAGCTGGGTAGCTGACCCTCTTAGTCCGTTATTGCCAGAGATAAAAATGCCATTCAAACTCATTACTGCTTTAAAAAATTTGTCAATGCTCAAATGCGTTCAAACTGGAAAAATGCGTTTAATAAAAATGGTCGAATTATTCGTGTTCTGATTACGAGGCATTGGTTTATACTGGTGGAGGGGAGAGTTGCGTGGCAGAGAAGCTTAGGCCTGCCCAGGTCCCCGGACGGACTCCACACACATGGTAAATAGCTTGCACGTTTTGCAACCATTGGGTCTACGCAACGCAATTGGATCTCCACACGCATTCACGTGGACTTTGACATCATCCATCATTTTCCAAATACGATCTAAAACCTCATATACCCAAAAAAAAAAAAAAAAGTAAAACGAGAAATTTAAGGAGGCCGCTGAAACTGAAAGAGAAAAGAAAGAAGAGAAATGACGTCCCGTTTGCTGAGCGTGTAAAAGTGTACGACACCTAAACCAAACCGGGGTTTCGGTCCTTTCTCACCGTCTAAACTGCTTCAGTGTCAGAACAGTTCAATTTCATTTTAACCATTTCTCAAACACAAATGTAATGACGAATATGAACAGAAATTATTTCCCACGCTAAAGCTGATTTAAACAAATACTTATTGGTCCATCCCAAGATGTGAACCACCCCCCCCCCTCCCCGGGAGAGCAAAGTCACCAAAATACACTGATCTACTGCTGCGTCGTTAAATACAGACGAGCAAAAGAGACACAGCCGCACTGCTGACCAGCCGTTAATTGCGTGTGATGACGGAACATTGCTCCACCGGCCGGGCCGGCCGCCTTTAGTCATGTAGGACACGCCGACACGGTCAGCGAAAAAGGCGCTTACAGTCCATTGTCAGTTTAATCATGGAATCTGTATTGTTGATTTGCTACCGTTGGTTTCCACCTTCTACGTACACCAAAAGTTTAAACGAAAAACCAAGGTATTGCACGACTCAAGGAAAGTAGACAACCAATCTATAGTTTTTGGTTCTTGCCCTTGTCTAATGCACTAATATATCGAGGGAAAAAAAAAGATACCCCAAAAGCCTTTTTTTTGTTTTTTTTTTTTAACACATGAGAAACTCCAAAAGTCTACAATATCATGATGAGTATGTCAATTAGCAGTAGGATTTATAGACTTAGCAGTAGGTTAAGCAACTTTGTTAGTACTTTCCAGTCCAGCAAGACGCATGCTTAGATCCATTAAATGTGACGTGCTTAGATACATGTGATTCGACGGTGATTAAATTCTCGCCCATTTTTTGTGATTCCATTGGATCACCTCCCTCCCTCTGGTACAAGTTAAATTAGAAATACGAGGAGAAGAAGTAGATATTGGACGGTGATAATAGAGTTAGAAAAAAAAAAAAAAACACACTTGTGAATGAAGTCCCTCCGGCAGCTTAGATTAGATCCCTATGCGTGCGGTCCCCCCCCCCGCCCTCGGGCCCACATCACTGTCAAGATACAAAATAGCAGTACAGCAAAGGAGCGGAACATTTGTTTGCCGCCAGAGCTGACCACGTAGTACGCCACGTGCTTGCTTCAACTGCGAAATTCCCACAATGCCACGAAACCCAATTAGTACTTGTTGTATAACTATAATCGAAGTAGTAGTAGTAGTAGTAGTAGTAATAGTGCTGGTACATTTGGCCCAAGCGCCGGCCAATGGAGTACAAGAAAAATTAGTACCGCTTTCGTAGCATTAAGAAAGTAGTAGTGCAATTACAGAAACGAGACGTCGATGTTCATGCTAGTAATAACCCTCACGAATCTGCTCTCTGGCCTCAGTGCCTTGCTTCAAGTTTTTGCTCTCTCCACCTACTCAATAATTTTTTATTTTGTTGTCGCGGCCAGTCATTCACATTTTCGCAAATAACAGCCATACCCACTCAGGCATTAAATTATGCAATTCAGTCACACCAAGTCATATTATAATGCCCCATCCTTATCCAAATCGCTACTGTTTTAATTATTATTATTTTTTATCCATGTCAATGTACATTATTATTCAATCATTACTGCCACTGCTTCGACGAGGCAGAGACGCTGGTGCACTGCAGACTTGATTGGGGGATCGAAGGTTCGATGAATTATTTATTGTCAGCTACTACAAAAGCGTCAAAGTAAGTAACCTTTTTGTCATAAATTTTATCATGATAAATTTTGAAATTTACTGCGACAAAAAAGTAACCTTTTTATCATGAATTTTCATAAGACTAATTAACTCCTAGAACACACACACACACATATATATACTAGGAGGGGTTCACCGCGCACCGAGCGGTGTTATTTTTGTGTTGCCCAGAAAATGTCCAAATTTTGAAATGGAGATATGATAATCGTGCGGAGAAGTAAATGGAAGATGTAAAAATATTAAAGAATGAGTAAACACAATTAGAGAAAGAAAAGCTCAAGCGCAGCCTTTACACAGCAGCATGGAACTGAGCAGACATTCAAAACAAAACAGAGTAAAGAAAAGCTAAAGTACAGCCCTTACACAACACCATAGAATTCAGCCAATATATTAAAAAAGAAACAGAGTGAAGAAAAGGTAAAGCACAGAGCTTACACAGCAGCATAGAATAGAACAGATAAGAAAACAGGAGTTAAAAGGCTGAGTAAAGGCGGCAACAGCTAAAAGCGAGGTAACAAAAGCATGTAGCAAAATGATTATTGGGTACGAGCAAGGTAAAAGCACATACAGAAGGGAGAATAAGTAATGGCACCTTAACGTTAGATAACAAGCCTTTATTACCCAACAGCAGAGCAACACAGAAGAGGACAACACCTGAATAAGCCAGTGAGAGCAAAAAGAGTAAGAAAATATAATATCAAAAAGTAAATGCAGCACAACAAGCATCAGAGAACAAAGTGGGTAAAAATATAAGAAATTCAAGGGGAAAAGGGGAAAATCACTAAATAGAAGGGGGGCAAGATAACTTGTATGTAGCAACAACAGCAAAACAAAAGGGGAAAAAATACAGCGACGCAAGAAATGACGACAGGAGGAAAAATGGAAAACTCAAAGAGTAAATGCAGGACAACAAGCACCAGAGAGTATAGTGGGGAAAAATATAAGAAATGCTAGGGGAAAAGGGGGAAATCACAAAACAGAATGGGGGGCAAGATAACGTGCACGTAGTAACAGTAGCAGAACAAAAAGTAAAAAAAAAAAAAAAAACTGATGCAAGAACTACTGACAGGAGGACAAATGGAAAACACAGGGGAAAAGGCTGTGGCAGAAAGGTAAATTTAAGCAGGGCGCTTGAGAAGCAAAACGAGCGGCAAAGCAAAGCAAAGAGGCAACGCAACAGTAACAGCTCAGGATGGCATAAATTGCAGGTGAGGAAAAACCAAAATAAGCACGACAGGAAACGGGAACACAATCAGGAGAAGTTAAATCCAAACAATAGTAGCGGAATTAAAGCTTACGCAAGGAGGCAGCAAGATAGCAATTGTTACAAAGGAAAGAAAAAGCAGAAAAAAAGAAACGAGGCAGCAGCTCAGAATGAGGAAGCAAGCAGCTGGAGGGCCAGAAAAGAACAATGAAAATGAGGCACAATTACCGCGGATCATGATGACGAAAGCTGGGAAAAGCGGAACCTGAAACATAGAAACCTCTGGATACATCGGAGAAACAAAGGGTTTTCAGTCTTGTCAATCAAAGGAGAGAGCAAAAAGTGTTTTTTCGGCAGCTCTCTAGAGCAGAGCTGAAGCTCCTTCACACCAAATCGCAGAGAGGAAGGAGCTGAGCAAGATAGAACGGTGCATCTGTCTTTTTTAAAAGAAGGGCAATATCGTCAAATCATACCAACCCACATTGAGCCCATCACCCAACAGTTGTCATCAATCAAACTTTCAGCAACCGTCATAATAAGCTTACTCAGCTGGCAATACAGAGAAACGTTCCTTCTCAAAAACCAAAGGTCCAAGTTTTCTTCTCTCAGGCAACAAGAAGAAGGATTGCACTTCTCCTCCCAGCAAAAGCACGCGACTCCCACGTGAGCGACGATCACCAGCCAGCCAATAAAATCCAGCCACGTCAGCACAGCAACCACAACTCTTAGCAATTCCATTCGCTCTTTTACTATATGTTGATATATACATACATAAATTTAAAAAATCTTTATGAACATCGAGAACAATTTTTAGAATAAAGGCTATTCTCGTCCTTCCACAAAGCATTTCACCCAGAAAAGACAATACCGAGTTTTCCAATTTCCCCGAATTAGATCACGTTACAAAAAATCATCCCATCCGTCGCAGTCGAACGAGAAGGAGAAGGAGAAGAAGAAGAAGAGACACAGAAACTACGCGAGAGTCGAGAAGCGAGAGGAATCACGCCCCCACCAACCCAAAAACGTCTCCGACTTTCTTTCTTCGCCAAACGAAATTAGGGTTCCGAATTCCTCTTTGGAACTTCCAAACTTCGCTATCTTGACTCTTGTTTTGTTCCATTCCAGCCCGCCCTTCAATCAACAGATCTCTATAAAATTCCTTGTAAATACTGTATAATCGACTCACAATCTCTCCGATTACATTTATTAGGCTCTGTTTCTATCTTCTTTTCTTTTTTTAATTGTATTAGTCGTTTGTAGATTTGACGATTCTTTTATTTTGTAAATAAATAAGAAGCTGAAAAAAAAATTACAGTAAATAAATTCTAGGGTTAGTATTAGGAGATTTGAAATTAAGCTTCAATTATGCCTGTTCCGACAATTGCTCTGTACGCAAGTCCACCCAGCAGTGTCTGCTCGACGCCACATCCTTGCCAGATCAACTCGCATGCCTCCTACGACTTTGATTTGAACAGTCGATCATCTCCGCCGCCGTCGTCCACGGCGTCTCCGTCGCCGTCGCAGAAGCCGATCGTCGGAGGACTTTCCCTGCTGCTATCCTCTCAACCGGCGGTAAAACACGCGACTTATTCGACTACTGCGGACGAATTGTCGTCCTCCTTGTGGCATGATAGAGGGGGTGAAGAGTTGAGCTGCGGTTCATTTCGGTACTCGTCGTTGAGCTCGTCCATGAAGCGAGATCAGTGTTATCAGAGCCCTGTGTCCGTGCTTCAGGGTCCCGTCTCTTGCAGTAGTAGCGGCAGTGGAATTGGGTCCGCTTCGACGTCAAGGAGTCCTCCCATGAGAATGGGGGATAATATGAGCTCCATTCGATCCGGTAGTGGGGGTTTGTTTCATCGGTTTGTCCGGCATGCTTTAGGGTCCTGCGTCGATTATGATTCGCCGTCTTTTCAACTTCATGACAGCGTTGGTTCTACATCATCTGGTTTGGTAGATGAGCTGACATTTAATATGGAGGATAATTTCACAGAATCTAGTGTAGATCCTCGTGCTAAAGATATGCTTTTGAACGCACAGTACAGGCATAAGATATTTTATGACGATTTCGTCGTAAACGCTTTTTATGAAGCTGAGAAAGCTCATAGAGGACAGGTATATACATTGCATGTGAATACTAGATTTGGTAGTCGAAAAAATGCTTTCTTTATGGAATCACTGGATTGAGAAACTGTGTCTCTGATTTTGCAGGTGCGGGCAAGTGGAGATCCTTATTTACAGCATTGTGTGGAAACGGCGGTTTTGCTGGCAATGATTGGCGCTAATTCCACAGTTGTTGCTGCAGGGTTGCTGCATGACACACTTGATGATGCTTTTGTCACGTATGAGTATATTTTCCAGACATTTGGTGCTGGGGTGGCAGATTTAGTTGAAGGGGTATGAACTTTTCTTTTTTATGGACTTCTTGCTATTGAAATGCTTATCAAATCGCTACACCTTTTGGATTGCGATTTTCCTCAGAAAAATTATTTTATTTTTCGTGAACACATTTCGCTATCACCTTTTTACCTCACATGTATCAAATTGCTATAATAATTTTTCTACAAAAAATCCAAAAAAAATGCAATCCAAACGGGCCTATTCATTTGGTTCCCTCGAATTTTGCTTTCCCAATGAGTAGTGCATGTTTCTTTACCATTCTACTGGTAATGTTTACAAAATGACAGCTTCTCTTGGAAGGTTTCTTTGCTTGGGATGCTTTGAATAGATTTATGGACCCAGGGTTGTTGTTGAATTCCACTTCAACCTCTATGAATTTCCAGGTAGCCACAGTCCTTAGGTTCTGTTGTCATTGGTTATGAAATGAGTGTCACCATCTATTAGCAGTCGAAGAAAATGTTTTGAGGTGAATAAGAAAAATGGAAGGAGCTTTCTTAAACGCCAACTACATGCTGATCAACTCAAGTTAATGCAGGAATTTTGTAGTTCTAGAAATTTAAGTTCATCATGTATGAGGCAAAATTAATAGTTTCATAAGTAGTCGGTGTCTGTTTCTTTGTTGTCTTGGGAATTACGCAGAATGATGCTAGATATTGACTTTATATTAGATATTTTTGGCTTGCGCACTCATCTAGCTTTGGTCTCTTATAGGTGTCTAAACTGAGCCAATTGAGCAAGCTTGCACGTGAGAACAATACCGCTTGTAAAACTGTTGAGGCTGATCGATTGCATACAATGTTCCTTGCAATGGCAGATGCTAGGGCTGTTCTCATTAAATTGGCTGATCGGTTGCATAATATGATGACATTGAATGTGTTACCTTTAGTTAAGCAGCAGAGATTTGCTAAGGAAACCTTGGAAATATTTGTTCCTCTGGCGAACCGTTTAGGAATCTCTACATGGAAAGAGCAGTTAGAGAACCTTTGTTTTAAGTACTTATATCCAGATCACCACAAAGAATTGTCCTCTAGACTTTTGAAGACCTTTGACGAGGCAATGATAGCCTCCAATGTGGAGAAATTGGAGCAAGCTCTTAAGGAGGGAGCCATTTCTTATCATGATCTATCCGGGAGGCATAAAAGCTTGTATAGCATCTATTCCAAAATGCTAAAGTATGCTCTCTCTCTGTCTCTCTCTCTCTGTCTTTCTATCTCGCGCACACACGTATTCCTCTTATATTCAATGTTTTGGCATATTGTTGGAGTTCATATCATTTAATACATGGTGATGATATAACTATGTCCAGGAAAAAGCTAAATATGGATGAAATTCATGACATTCATGGTTTAAGGTTAATTGTGGAGGATAAAGATGAGTGTTATAAAGCTTTGGATATTGTTCACCAACTATGGCATGAAGTACCTGGAAGGTTCAAGGACTACATAGCCCACCCGAAGTTTAATGGGTAATTTAATTTGGTGATGAGATCACTTTTTTAAGTTTTTTCATGGGCCATGTGCTAACCTGGATTATGATTTGTAGGTATCAATCCCTGCACACTGTAGTTATTGGTGAGGGAATGGTTCCTCTGGAAGTTCAGATTAGAACAAAGGAAATGCACTTGCAGGCTGAGTACGGGTTTGCTGCTCACTGGAGATACAAGGAAGGAGATTGTAAACTCTCTTCCTTTGTTCTTCAGATGGTTGAGTGGGCACGCTGGGTTGTTGCTTGGCAGTGTGAGACAATGAGCAAGGACTGCTCCTCCATTGGTTACGCTGATTCTTTGAAGCCGCCTTGCAAATTTCCTTCTCATTCAGAAGATTGCCCTTACTCTTGCAGACCTTATTGTGGCTCAGATGGACCTGTTTTTGTGATTATGATTGAGAATGATAAGGTTCATTGTTGATGCTTTCAGTAGTTTGTATATCTAATTTAGTTGTCAATGATTGCAAAAGAATTAATTTAGAAGCAAAGGATTTAGGTGGCTAATTTCTGGTGTTTTAGTGGCATTTTTGGGTGATTTAGCTTTTCCTAGAATTTATTCGTATCTTTCATCCTTTGGCCCCCTCTTTGGTTGCTGTTTAGGTGTTTCACGTAGGAAACCTTGGTTTTTGAAATTTTAGTCCTACTCCTGTGATGGTACAAATGTCATGACTAATCTGGTTTTGGGTGTTACAGATGTCGGTACAGGAGTTTTCAGCAAACTCGACCATCAAGGACATGCTTGAGAGAACAGGTTGGGGAAGCTCTAGATGGACGCACTGTGGATTTCCGCTGAAGGAGGAGCTTAGGCCCCGGTTGAACCATGCAACTATCAGTGACCCCATGTGCAAGCTAAAAATGGGAGACGTTGTGGAATTAACTCCAGCAATACCGGATAAATCATTGATGGAGTACAGAGAGGAGATTCAGCGCATGTACGACAGGGGGCTCCCCGTATCAAGTACGGTGTCTTCTGGTAGTTCAATGATTGGCTTGAGAAGCTGACCCCGTTCTGGTACATTGCCCGTAGTAATAGGGTACCGTGGACAAATTGCTCATTCTTGTATATAAACCATAACATTTGTACAGAACCGCTTCAGATAAATGGCTAACTGAATTTGATAGGACGTGTGCTGCCTTGTCTTTTAGATACCAGCATTAGTTGCTAATCATGCTGCCTTCCAGTTTTGTTAGTCGACACGACTTGTTAAACCAAATGCCAAACTTGTTATCCAATAACCAAAACTAGTAAGAAGATGATGCGACTTTTGCAAACATTCACATGTATGTAGACAAACAAGGTAAAGATTATTTATCCTGTAAGAATTCTCTGGTTCTGTTTGGGCTCAGGGTGCTGTGGCCATAGGAAAATTTTTTGCAGCACATGGATTAAAAGGAAAATCAGCACTAGCCGGTAATTTGTTAAGTCTCGCGTGCGGCCAGCGTTGTGATGGTTGAAGTTGCTTGATATGGAACTGTGAAATTACCATAGCCATGCGGTGGTTGAAGTTACTTGAAATGGAGCTGTGAAATTACCACAGCTGGGTTTTCCATCCCAAGGGAAGGCAGCTGCGGTGGTTGAAGTTAGGCAGCCACCCGTTTGCAATGGAACATGGATGTAGCAACTTCGAGGTGTGAGGCAGCTCTTGTCGCTGCTCGAGACCAAAATTGGTACGACCGTGGCCGTGAGCGCCTTCTCACATATTGGTTTCTACTTGTATCCTGGCTTGAATTTCCCATGGCATTTTGCCAGGGACTCCTTTCAACTTGAAAACCATTATAGAAATCATCATTTCTAGTCAAATATAGAGCTTGTCAAAACTAAAGCAGAGTCAACCAATCAGCCCAAAGCAGTGCCGATGATTAAGAACACAAATTCTGGAAATTGTTTGGACAGCAATTTTCCAAAGAAAAAAAAAATTGTTACGTTTTTTGTAAACACATTTTCCATTCACGTTTTTACCTCACATATATCTTTTTACCTTACAAATATTAAATCGCTACAGTATTTTTTTACAAAAAATCCAAAAAAATGCAATCCAAACAAGGATGCAAGCAAATTCACTAGTGTTAATAACGTTAAAAGCATATCATTTAACAAATACAAAGAAACAATCCTGCATCCGGGATACATACAATTCTCCAGTTGACTTTTCCAAGTACCGAGTACATTTTGGAGTCTCAATTCAGGGATGAATTTTACAGGTCAATACTGCCCCAGATTGCATCAAAAACGGTCAGCTACTCAAGCCCAGCTTACAAGAAAGGAGTCAAGAGATAGACATGATAAATGTTAATCTTCCTGGGAACTTTTGTGGTGAGAAGAAAAATATATACACCCCAACACACAATTGGGTACCGTGTGATTTTTAGCAACCGCTATTGAGACTGAAAAGCTCATCCTGATCGTTTAGGTCCAATTGGAAAAGACACACCCTGAGGAGTGCCTTGTGAAGCATCTATCCTTTGCTCTTGAGAAGGGTTTGGATTAGGATCAGCAGCCTCTTCATCATCCTCTGCTTCCTCAATTGCTTGCTTGCTTTGTTTCTTTGTAATAGCAAATTGGTAGTTGGGATTGATTAGGGTATCCTGTTCAGGAGGAAGTGGAATTCCAGGCCTGGTAATTGATTTTGGTAAAGGGATCTTGTTTCTATTCCTAGCTAACTCTAGTAGGACCTGAACAGTAACCAATACAAATATGTTATAAGTACACTGCAAGGACACAAGATTGGTACAAAGACATATTATTTGCATGCCAGTTGGAAGAGGAGTTTTCCTAATATTACAATTTTAAATACTGCAACTTCACTTCAAAACTCACATGTCGTCTTCCAGGTTCCATAAAGAGAATAAATTGCTAATGATAACAACAACAACCACCAAATAAAAGAAAAATTCAGACGAATTAACAACTCAAACAAGTAGAGCTGGTAAAAGCAGCAAATTCCAAGAAATTGATATTGTTCCTTCGGCAGTGTGGTGCTTCTGAATAATAGTTAGGTTGGAATCAGGAGGATTTCAAGCTTGTTTTTTCATTTTTCAATTTAAATTTAACTCTAATTTTTAGTAACAAACTTGAATTGTGCTTTATCTTATTCAATCTGAGCTCCAATCAGCATTGATCGAGTGGCTTAACAAGCACAAAACTTGAAATTCTCAGCAATCAATTAAAATGCTCACACAAGAAAAAGAGGAGAGAAAATTACTGCAGCTGCTACTAGTACTAAAAGCTATTATGATGCTGACCGAGTTGTGGACTAACTTAATGAATATACCTCACGTGGAGGAGGTTGTGAGAAGCTGAAATTGACTTTGGACTGAATGGCAAGCTTGACATCATCGGAATCGATCACAGATTTGTCAGCGTGGTCTGAGTAAATCTGCGCATCCGTCAGCACATCCACCGCGTACCTGTACCAAAGTTCCAAGAATTGGTGGATAACACGGGGCTCATAGTCTTCCACACCCATTGATTTCAGCAGAGATTTCACGATCTTTGCATCTCTCGGCATGTCCTCCTCTCCTGCTCCCTCTCCCATTTTCTGCAATCAAACTAAAACCTCTGCTCAAGCCTACCTTAGTATTACTGTCGTCAGAATTTGTCGTCAGAATTTGGCTTTCCAACCTTATAAAGTTGCAATGGAGAATTATATAGAGCTTAAGTTTCTTCTATCCTAGCTGACCGTTCGACTCTTAAATATTAAAGAAGCTGTAATTCGTTAAAACTTTTGGGGACATAACAACCAAATTATGAAAGTCTAGATCACATTCTAAATATATCAGCTTTATGAAATAGCTTTTACAGGGGCATAACAACTGCATAATGAAACTGTAGCAATTTTTTACTAGCTAAGCTGTCCAATGGGAATTGGGAAATATTTAGCAGCTGCAGTTTCCAATTTCCTCTAGAAAATGAAAGGAACCTACGTATTCTTTAAACCTCAGATTTAGCAACTAATGACATCAACTGAAGAGCCATACCTTAAACCTAAACCTTTATCAAAAGACAAATTTTTTTTTTTGTTGGGGTGGGGGAGATTACAACAGCAACCCTGATCAAGTGGAAGAAACGATTGCATAAAATTATTTCAAAACCCACATAATCCTTTAAATGAGAAAACATGTGGAGTTCCACTTCTTTGAATAAGGACATTAAAAGGCCTAACAAGCTTTTAAGTCCCAAAATAAGCATACACCTTTTAGCAAGCTAAACATTCTCTACGCATTTAGCAATTCAAAACGCCCCCAAAGTATCGCAATTAAGGCAAGTCCTATTATACAACTACCAACATACCTCCGCGAACCTGGATTGCGAACTTATTGAATTGCGCTACGTCTTATAGTCCCTCTTCCTCCTGCAAATGAAGGGAGAGCGACAAATATTTTCAGCGACGGGGACAGAATGGGGCCGAAGGCGGTGATTTGCGAGGCGGTGTTCGAGGTTGTGAATCGACGACGGGAACAGAATTTCTCGAGTTCCTTGAAAGATTTATTTGGGTTTGTGGGCATAAGGCGATGGGCTTTCTTGATGTGCCGCGGCTTTTGGGCCGACTGGTAGCGGGAAGCTTGTTAGACGCAGTTACTTTGGAGAAATTGTGATAGAACCTGGTCTCTTTGTGGACCACAACCCTTTTTCTTTGTTTGACTTTTAGATGGTGAATAAAATTCTCCATTACATATTGAATTAAGTGTTTTTTTTTTTATAAATTTTTTTTTTAAAGATTGTTAGAGTTTTAGTCATTTAGAATATAGACCATTGTCATCACTGAGTATACAAATCGGATTATCTAAAAAGAACATAAAAATTTTAAAAAGTTTTTTAAAAATTATTTTGAAATTGGGTACTGACACTAAAAGGTTCAAGCCCTCCAACATAATCGGTTGACGTTGTGCTCTAATAAATACAGTAGTATATACATATTTTTTTCCATAGGTCAGTTTAGTTTAATATATAGGTGGCAAACCAACCCACTTAACTAAATTTACCCATACCCGTCCATGAATAGGTAGGTTTGGGTATCTTAAATTTTTGTATATGGATATAAATGAGTTACCCAATAATACCCATTTAATAAATGGATATTATTAGGTAATTCATCAAACCCAAATAACCCATTTAGAATTCTCTTCCCCTAAATCTCTTCTCTTCCGCCATCCTTTTTTTTTTTATTTTCAAATATTTCATTTTGTCATGATGTTAACTACTTTTGTTTCACTATTATTATTATTATTTGTTGGTTTTATCTTATTATTTTATTTTCTCTTAATTTGTTAACTTGCTCACTTTTTAGCATTACCAATTTATGATAAGTTTTAGCCTCTTTTCTTATCTTTCTAAAATGAAAATTTAAATTTATATATGAAAAAAATGTTAGAGGTTCAAAATTTTTGGATTAAGTTTTCATATTAATTTTTATAGTACTTAGTTCAATTTTTTTATTCTTATTATTCAATTATTAAATAATATGTAATTTTGCGACATAGAGTATAAATGAAAAAAAAATTGATAATTAGGCTTATTGAACATTATAAGTAAATATTTAAAATTAATGGTGGGTACAAAGAGCGGTATAAATTGATAACTTAGTTTGAAAAAATAAATTTAAATGAGTTTACAAAAAATTAAAATAAGTGGGTTATAAATGGGTAATTGAATTACCCAATTCATTTTTTGACTTACTCATTTATACCCATCTAATTAAATAGGTATAAATGGGTTGACTCACTTATACTCATTACCCATTTTATCCAACCCAAACCCGCCAAAATCACCCATTTTGACACCTCTAGTTTAATATAACTGCATATATGAAATACAAATTCTAAAAGTCTATACCCTATTAATTAAGCTTCAGGAGCTCGTGAGATAAAATTTCAAAATTTTGGGCTTTTAAATCGACCTTGGCTTGTACTTGGACATTAGAAATCAAGTCCAACTTTTAACCAAAGGGATGCATTTGACCAAGCCTAAATACGTGATTTAGTTCACTTATTTGGGCCCCGAGACGGCAGGGAATTATTAAACATGCTTCCTCTTGCATTCAAGGCGAGTACAATTATGTTTCACGGCCTGACAAGATTTGACATACATTAACTTGTATAATTAGGAAACTAGTTACAGAGATTCAA